GTAATAAAACGTGTGTTTGGTATCTCAATTGCATTTTATATTATTATGGAAGACGGAAGTCAAATCACCTGATTGTATTTTTAGTAAAAAAAAAAACAATGCATTAGATAATATACCTACCTATAATATGTATATTGTACTATTTATAATCAGTGTTATTAATGGAACGGTTTTTATCTTCTAAATAGTTTTACATAATTTTATTTTATTTGATAATATTTATTATTTATAATAAAACATTATAAACAAATACCATACAGTAGATAAATAGGCAATAGCTAATTAGACCAAATCGTTGTATAAATATTATATTATTAACCTGTATTTTTTTACTAATATAGGTACCTAAATATATTTTTGAATTGAAATGCATAATAACTAGGGCTTGGATTTATATGTATTTATATAACATACAAAATTATGTATTAATACTACAGAACTATTGACATAAATATGTGCTACAAAGTTTAAAATAGATATGTATAATCAAAAAAAAATTAATAATAATTAATTATGTAATAAAATATAATAAAGAAAATGATTATTTATTTAATTATCTAGATTGCAGATTATAACAACATGCATTTTTTAATTTTCAAGTTCAAAGGATTATCGATTCAGTCGTAAAATTGATTTATACCTTATTTACACAATTATACGTAGGTATGTATAGCCACGTTAGAAATACGTCCGGTCGACACCTCGAAACCGACGATATTATATTACCAAGTCAAAGTAAACTATTAAGTATAAGCTTACTTATGATAAGCTTTCAATCACTCTGAACTCTGAAGAAAACACATAAAAACAGTAAAATTGTCTACACATGTGAGAACAAATTGAATAACTAATTGTGAAGTGTGTAAAAACATGTGTTAAGCCGCTCCTGCGAATGGTCCGGTTAGCGGCAACGACTTTCGAAGTGTTTAGGGCGTGAGAACTGAGAAGATTACCTCGCAGTTTACTAATAACGTACAGCCGTACAGGTATATAAGGCGCGATGCGCCTACAATGTATAATAAATAATAATACACAATACAACAACCACACAGATGTAAGGCGCCCCAAAATAATAACACTAAGATCCAAACACTAGACTTAGGTAACGGCGTAACGCAAACCACATAATGTTATGACGCACGGCACAGGTGAGCATAAGTGATCAAACAAATAATAATAATTTCACTTATATTATATACGTTTAATAGTGTGGCGGAATTACCTGACCAGCAGCCAGAAACTGGCGTCTGCGTGACCCCATCCGCACTGGTAATGCGACAGCGTCTTGATCGGCGGCGGCAACAATGACTTCCAACGACTTAAAACCCAACGTGTATACTGCGGAGTGTGGAAATTGGAGATCACGCAACACGCGTTTTGTCTGTGTACGCGAATTGAGCACACTGTGCGTGGAACGCAAACGCTCGCAAAATACGACGCGCACGTGGCACGTCTGACCACGTAGTTTACGACGATATACGCTGCAACCACCAACACCGACTGCCTCGTCACGTGTTGACAATAGATCGAACACACGACCGGATCAAGCACACCAATAGTTACCTTGATCTAGCAGCAAGCGAATGCGTCGTCGAGTAAGAACGCACTTGAGCCACGTCGCAAAAACGTGACACACAGCAACTCGGGTGCAAAGGGTGCACCGCCGAGAACACGAACGGTCACGTCGCACACAGGACACGCGGAGGTGACCGCCAGGAAAAGACGAGCTTGGACGGCGGGTAAGCAATGGCCAACAACCCGGTACTGGACTCCAGGGGAGGAGGTAACCACCTTGTGAACATTCTGTGTCCGATGCGCCGCTGGAAGGAAACATGCCGAAACTTCAGTGACGCGAGAACGCTTTCGAACAACATGTATTTATGACAAAATATGTAAAATCAAATGCGTAGCTCATTTCATCAAACAATTTGTGAAACGAATTTGTCACTAGCCGAAACTAGTTTATCGTGTCATAGGTTGGGCTAGGGCTATTAGGGTGTTGTTACCTTAATTAAAAATTATTGAAGACTAAAGAATATAGTTAGATTTAGGGACTTGAAAGCCTTGAATAGAGACAAATTCTAATAAAAATATGAGAAAATTCATATTATACACTAGAACTAGACAATTTTTACTGGATATATTTAAAAATTGTATTAGACATTTTTCCTTTTTTGAATAATTGTATCTATTGCTATAATATCAATGTTATTGGGAAAAAAACAGACAGGTCAATATAGAGAAGTGCTTAGGTTAGAAATAGGTAGATAATATTATAAATATATATACTATAAGAATACAATTGAAATAGGGTTGGAATTATTGATTTTAAAAATAAAGTATCAACTAAAACATACTTTTTTACATTGATGCATATGCAGACTACATATGCAGGGCCGTATAGTAACCAAATATTGCGCCCGGGGTGAAACTTCAAAATCCGCCCTTATGTATTTTTAATTATTATAAAAATTAAACTGAAATTTTTTTAACGCAATTTAAACGTTTTAAGCGTTTGATAACTTTATTAAAAATCAATAAATATTTAAAATAATAATGTATTTTTTTTTTTTCCTGTTTTAACCGACGACGCCGCGGGATCTGCTTTCGCATTGCTTCCGCGGCGCCAAAATAATAATGTATTTACAAATTATAAGTATAACCTAATAATATTTTTAAGTTATACAAGTAAATAGGAATTTTTCCAGATTTTTTCCTTGCAGTTTTTAATAAGTTCGTTTATTTCTAATGTATTTACCTAAGTATGTTCGATGGACAAAATAGCCATATCAGATATTCGATTTTGTCCCATTGTCGACCTAAAATAGTTTTTTATGAGCTTTAACTTATTAAATGATCGAAAAGTACAAGTACGGGCCTACCTAGCGACTATAACATATCAATGTTAATTATTTATTATATACTATAAAATATATACGAATATCAGAATATTTTTTCAATTTTTTTTAAAAAATTTATTCGGTGTAACACGAGCTCTTTAATATTATATAATAATGAGTCGCAACTGTATAATTTTATGAAAATAATAAACTCAATCACATAGATATCTGTAAGGACGAAAGGCTGAAGTAAAATAAAAATCTTCAAGAGCCCAAGACCGAGCACAGGACAAAACACAAATGAAGTAATAAATAATCAACCAATAATACATTTAATAATTAATAATCAATTTTTAGTAGATAATGATAGCTACTGTTGTATAATAATCAGTAAACATGAGACATTACAATCTAAACTTGCATAAATTGGAATAATTTTGAAATAAAAATAGATAGAATTTATAATCGTTTTATACTTTTATCATCTTTAATTAATCTCAATATATACATATATATATAATATAGAGCATATTTTACGTATATTATGTTTATATTTGTTTTATTCCTATAAAATAAACAGCAGACCATTGACTGTGAGACGGTACCAAATTATATTAAGTTTAAACACATTATAGCAATGTCGTATTTGGTGTGGACAACCGATATACCTAATATATAAGACCATAAAAAAATTATTCAAATATAAGAATTTTCTGTACATAGATCGAATGTATTTATTACCTAACTAATAACTAATTGTTGACTTGATAGGTATCTACTTTTATATAAAAATATTTTAATTATTAGATTTTATTTTCAACAATTTCTTCAATTATTAGAATAAAAGATATTGAAGTTTTTATAAATAATATATACAACATCGACTTTTGTAATTTTTAACATATAATCCAAGTTTTTAATTGTTATTTGTTGAGCCCCCCTAAGAATTGCGCCCGGGGCGTAGGCACCTCTTGCCCCCGTATCTCTATGGCCCTGTTGGTATGTTGTAATAAATTATAAAAAAAAATGATAACATTTTCTTGAATTTTGGGACAAAACTTTTTATTCATGTTCAATTAATTTTTTAAGACAAACTATAAAAACTTCTTTTATTATATTTTCTTTTTCTTATATTTTGTTATAGTTTCATTCAGACAATTTCATTTAAATGAACTTAAATTTTAATTCATTTTGAAACTGAGACAAAAAAAACTAATCTTTTGAATCATACATTGGCTTTCCTGGTGATTTTTAATAATAATCAAATTAGAACTCTTCAATCCAAGCTAATAAATAACTGACATACCAAATGAAAATATTATGTAAACAAAGGCAATGAATAAAATTTTTTTTATGATTTAAGAATTTGAAAATAAAATTGTTTATGTAAGACAAACGGTAAAATAGTTTATATAATTATATTATATTCATAAGATTAATAATATGTTAAACTATTTTACTTTTGTCTTTTTATACCCTTACTTAGTGTTGTAATATAACAATTACATATTAATATTGTTGCCTGAACCTTGTAAGTCCAAAAATCTACTTTTCTTTTTAAATGAATAATCTGTATTTTTTTAATTTCATGATAACCAATATTTGAATCTTATTTTACAATATGATAAAAATACAAAATATACCTCATATCTCGATCAACAAACGTAAAAATATTTTAACATACCAGTTCAAAAGCTTATCCTGAACATTTTGATAAAAATGAGGTTTTGCCACAAAGCCAACAATATATAAAAAAAATATGTTATTCAAAAATTAGTCAAAAAATCAATTTAATTATTCAAGCTTCATCTAGAAGTTATTTTATTGATATATATCTTATGGAAATACAAATGTAACAAACTACTAAATCAAGATACAATCATTGAGGAATAATGTACTAGAGATATTGGTTGACATTGTCAAATTACTTAATGATGATTTGCCACTCTACAGCTTTGCAAATATTTGTTTTTTACTATTTACTTTTAAGTTAATCTTATTGTAATTTTTAATTATAACAATTCAAATCTGTTATATTATAATTCTATGGAATATTGGAATTACATAATACAATGAAATACATATTATATTAGTTGACACAATGAATATAAAGGTAAAATATAAAAAATATTTTTTTTAAAAAAGCAAACAAATAACACATATCGTAGAAAAAACGTATATTGGTATTTGGTGTTCCAATTATATTGAATTATATAGTATAAATTAGTACAAATAGAAATTCTATTCAGGTTAATATTTAACTTAAACATAAAGTGGATTTGATGGTAAGTAAAAATAATATTAATTAAAAAAATATAAACAATATAACAATAATATATTATAATGCACCCATTTAAAAACATAAAACTCATCTAAAGAAAAGAATACAAATTCTTATTTCTTTCTCAATATATAGCAAATTTTAAATTGGAATTAAGTGTTTCATAGAATAAATATTAAGCTTGTTTGTTCTTAACAATAAATTTATGAACAGATGTAATCTGTGTAATTTTTATTAGGTGTGTTAATTTTGAGTCAATGTTTAATTTTTATGAGCGCATTATTTATTATTTTTATAGGTACTCAATATAATATGGGTTTCATTTAGAAAAAAAATTATTGCTTATATTTTATATTCAGTTAAATTGAGATAATCATTTATCCAGCTCTTGGCCCAAGCTTATCCAAAATAGATATTCCTCTGTCCTGGTACTCTTCACGTGATAACCAAAACGATTCTCTATCCTTGGTTACTTCACCTAACACAGCTCCACCAATAAACACCATGTCTTTACGCAACGGCGGATCTTCAATACGGATTTTAAGTTTCTAAAAATAAATAAATGTTTAAAAATGAACTTAAAAGGTATAATTGTAAATGTATTACTGATAAGGTAGTTGTATCATTTTTCAACACTCGTTCCACATAAAGTTGTTTAATTTCACGTTCCAGTCTTGATGGTAGTCCAGGATACATCGTTGAACCACCAGAGAGCACAATATGTTTATACAATTCAGTTCTCATATCGATATCAGCAGTTTGGATTGTGTTGAACACTAGTTCTGCAATACCTGGTAGATCACACAGTTATTTGTATTTTAAAAATACACAACACACATTTAAAATTAAACATAAAAATGATCCTATGAAATAAAGAATAAAGTAATTGTCAATTTATATTTTGTTTTTTGTATATGATAACTATACTATTTTAATTAGATGAAATTATTCAGAAAGAATTTTATAATCTCACAAATCCTAAAATATTTTCTATCCAAAGAAAAATAATTTTACAGCAAAAATCGAGATTTCCTATTATCTGTCCAGTGAGAGAGTGCAACTAGAGCATCCCAATGACCACTCTCCGCCGTCTCGAGGTCTAAATTCTCACATTGTGTGGTACCTTTATGTGAATACCATGGCACCGCTATGCCACTAGTGGCAGGTGAAGTGGTGGGAATTGGTTATCCTCCATTTGCACTCTCTAACTGGACAGAGTATAGTAATTGAGACAAATTCATAAGTTTTCACAAACACTACACATTATTTAGATATTTTAGAAATAATTGAATAACCAAAAACATTGTCACGTACAGAAAAAGATATTTCATTTTTATAGAATGCCTTTAGGCATTTAGCAATAAACAAACAGATAAAGCAGCAAGTCAACACAATATACGATTAACTGGCATCTGTATGTTGTAGACTTGAACTCAACATTTTAAGCTAAGCAATAATTTGTGGTACATTTTTTAATAGTTTTAACTTAAATATCTAAAATATAATGAACAAATAGAAGTCTTCTTATCAATTAATGAGATATGTTATCATCAGATTAACCAATAAATAAACAACACTACCACACCTCACATTTCATATGCTATCAAAACCAACAATGCATATAATATCCGAAATATGCAATTATTATACAACAGATTTCTTCTCGTAAAATAACAAAATAATATTCTATTTTACAAATTGTAATTCAAGCTTTGACCTCTCCCTTCCATAAAAAAAGAAAATTGATTATATGGCTATCAGTTTTAAAAAGTTACACCAGTATGCGAACCTTGGCCTTCAACATTTATTAAATGTGGCTGGAATAATACTTCAGGTGCTTCAAACCTTTCACCGCCAACTTTGATAACACGACCATCTGGTAACTAAAAAATGTAAGATAAATTGTATTAATATTAAAACTTTATAGTTAGTAATTATTAAGAGAATTAAGAGAATAATCATTCAGTGGGTTATATTATTAAATAATATAAAATACATAACTTACTGTGTATGACTGTACAAGAACAGTAGTTTCCAAAGCTAATTTTTGTTCAGTCTCAATGTTGTATGCAACATAACATAACTTTTCTTTCATCATTCTTACAGTTTCAAAATCGGCTGAATGATTGAAAGCGTATCCTCTTAAAAGTAACAACTAAAATAAAAAAAATTAAGTAACATTAGTCTGATAAAATATGAAAACTGAAAAATAATTACCTTTATTAAATAACGGGTGACATCGCGACCTGCGATATCTAGTCTTCGAGTTAAATGTGGTAAAACATACTCTTCATAAACAGGGCAAATGTGAGTAACACCATCACCAGAATCCACAACTACTCCACTAAGCAAACCTTGAGCATATAATGTTAGAATAGCTTGAACAGCTACATAAACAGCATTAAATTCATACTTTTCAAACATCACCTATTTCACAATACATTTTTCATATATATTTTAGTATACAGACTTCTTTTATAATAAAATATTCTTTATAATTACTTCTATCATTTTTTCTCTATTTTTTATTGGATTCATAGGAGGCTCTGTCAACATAATTTTACATTCTTTTGGATCAATATTCATCTTTTTTGGTCCAAAAGTGTAATCCCAAACATGGCACATATCGTCCCAATTCCTATAAATAATTTGAATAAGCATTAAACAAATAATTACTGAACAATCATTAGTTGAAAATAAAATTTAAAAATACAAACCTCACAATTCCATTCTCCATTGGATATGTGACATCTAACATGGATCGTAACTGACTAGCTTCATCACCAATCATCAAATCCTAAAAAATAATAAGGTTATAACTTATAACCAAAGGTAATTAAACTAATGTATAGAGTAACAATTCATCAGTTTGTACATATTATATTACCAACAAACAATTTTTTTTTTTATTCGATTCATGTTACAGGTAGGTTTTAAAAAAGGGCAGTATACATATTACATAGTAACTGGATAATGTAAACCTTATTTATATGAACAGAGAAATGTATTCATTATACTGTTTATATAATTACGTACAATTATATTCTAATTTTGCAACAGTTTACTGTTGCCATACAAACTCTACAATAGTTACTATCACACTATATACATATTCACTCGCATACTATCATGCATAATAGTTATTTCACGATAGAAACTTTCTAATTTTGCTATAATCGTGTGACAGCACATTAAAAATTCTATTAAATGTAAACTACAAATATCCTTAACACAGTAATTTGAGTGTTTTGACCAAATAGAAAAAAATCTGGTCTAAAATAATATTCAATTACAATAACTATTTTATTTTCTGTGACTAATGGCAACCCTATACAAAAATAAATACATTCATATAAAATACAAAATTTAAAATTTGGCTTCGAGATGCACATCCTCGGCAAAGGCGTGCGCAGGGGGGGAGGGGGTGCCGTGTTTAAGTTCCAGAGCACAGGGCCCTTATTTTACCTGATGTAAATGATGTAATTTTTTTTAAATATGTGGTGAAAATAAATATGTTTCCTGACAATAAAATAATAAAATGTAAAATATTTTAAAACTGAGTGGAATAACTTATTATGATTATAACAGCTAGAAGTTATTGACTACAAAAGTACAAGTATGAATAATAAATAAATATTGTAATTATCTTATAAACACAAATATTATATAACTTGGTACTAATATTAATTATGTACCTCTGTTATATATAGGTACATGTCTTATTAAGAGAGAGCCCAAAAAATATTGTAGGCGCCCCCGAAATTAAGGTCTGAGCACGAATATGATACTCGGGTATAGGATTACCCAAGTACAAAATGTCAGAATCATGAGTGCAATAGACTTGGCTATGGATTGCTTACACACATACACACAAACATTACCTATTTTTAATTAAGATATATTTGAACAATTAGAATTTGAGTGACCCTTAGAATTTCAAAGTATTCCCACACTTTTATATAATTGACTTGTATACATATTAATATGATAAGCATTTACTTTTACATGGACATTTTTAAAACCTGGAATACTAAAAAAAAGTTCTAACTTCTAAAATATTTATTATTGCATGAGTTTCATCAAATATCCATTATCTACAATCAGTATTTTATAAAAGTATGTATCAAAGCTACTTGGTCGTAGAACCAATTCTTAGTAAATTTCTGTTCAACAGAACCAACTTGTGTTTTTAGCTTTAATATTTGAGTAAATTGACATACAATCAAACTCAGAGAAAGGAATATTTCTGTGTTTATACAGTTAATGTTTTTACAATGTTTACATTCTTATACAAGTTTGAAGTATGTGAAATATAACAAAAGTTAACTAAAAATGCTCATATAAAGCAAAACAATTTAAGTATCATTAAAAACCCAAACACAGATAGTTTCTTTAACTTAAAGTTTAATAATAAAAGGTCAGTTCACAGAATCATTTAAGCTAACAACACGATATTGGTTCTGTTGAAAGCAAATTTTGTGTATCAGAAAGAGAACTAACAGTATAAAGATATCTTTAATCAATAAATTAGTTTTATGATAATCTTCTCAACATATAAAATAAAATTTTACCTAATCATGGCACAAAATTAGAGCCAAGAATTACATGCATTTAAAAACTGTCAAATGTGATGCAAATAGGTATATAAATGAGGCTCAATATGCAATTATATGCATTAAGTATAATTATACTTAATAAAAAAAAACTTAAGCAATTAAAATTAAAACAAACATTTAATATTTTAAAATATAAAATGTGGGTAACCCTCTCCTGTATATTGGGTGTGTAGTCACCGTAGAAGAGTAGTGGATTTGTTAAATTTGAATTCAATAATCATTGTACATAAAACGATTCTAAGAGAAGAGTGCATATAATATCACTAAGTAAATTTTATGATAATGTAATTAAGGTAATTAATTTTACTATTAGGCGGTAGTACTACGGAAGGGTAATACATTTTTGCCAAAAATTGTATTTTAAAATGTCATTTTGTGTTTACTGTATAGGTACAATGTTATGATGCACATGCTCAAAAAGTTTCAAGTACCCACAAATAATATTTTTAAATTACAATAAAATAAATAAAATCATTATACCTGATCATACCAACCAAATATTATGCAAAATAAAAATGGTGAGTATTTGAATTTGGTGTGATATAATGAACTGTTGAAATTTCCAACATCCTATGCAAATACATATAATTTTGAGTTCTAGCCATAATCTTAGTATAGATTGATAGTTCATCATAAAATGTACTTGGATAGGTTGTTGGAGTAACATTTGAACCTATTGATGATTAGAAAATTTTGGTGTGCCTAATACTTTATAGATAAGTTAACATTTTTCTAGTTTTAATTTTATGAAATTTCAATTTCTAAGACCAGACAAGTAATTCATTTTTATAAAGGTACTATGTATAATATTTTGTGTTCTTTTCTGTTATCTTGACTACTGACAGCCTCAATCTCGATTAATGCTAATGCCGAGACTATCAGGCCAACAATAGACACATTTTGCATAGGACTTCCTAATTATTATTCTATATTCTGAATATTATGTTAAAGAATATATATAAAAATAGTTAAATATATTTCACACATTTTATATTGAAATTGAAAGAGTTAAAATATGAATATTAGCACTTCTCGTAGAATATTATAAGAACACAATTAAAAACTGTAGTTAATAAAGCTTCAAAGATACCAATAAGGTTTTTAACTTACTTTAACTTCAATATCTCCAATTTTGTTGTGTGCACGAATTATCGGTCTACCAACCATTGACGGAAATATATGAGCAGGGAAATTAGTGCCAGCATAACCACATTTCACAAACTAAAACAGAGAAATAAATATAACAAATAATATAACATTAAATGTAAACAAACAAAACAAAAGATACTCCAGTAAAAGAAACTGAATAGTACCTAGGTTTTAAAAAAGTTTTAACAAATCTACTTATATCGTTATACCATAACGCCAACTAATATGGGTGTAATAATCAACAGAGTTAGCTGTTAAGATCCAATTACAGCAGATGTACTGTACTATTGTGTATGGAATACAGTTAAAAGAGGCAGTCCAATTATCAACCAGACCATTTTATAGTTACAACCGCATATGGCTGCTGCTGGGTCAATACAGATTATAGCCAGTCCAAAGATTGACACAAAAGTAACAATAACGTAATCGTAGATAATGTGATACACACGATTAAGGACTACCGTAGATGTGGGATAATGGCACTCACCCCTGTCCCGTTGTCACAGACGATGACTTTCCGGCCGCGACTGTCCATTGCGGCAGTGAGAGCGCTATAGTCCTTTGAAAAGAGATCAAAAACGATGAGATGTATTCCGTCTGATGTTCACACCTTAGCGTTTATTTTACAAGAAACAACGACGGGGTTTCATTCGTACAGCTATCAAAGTCCGGCCGATCTAGACTGTCTTCTTTCGATGGCAGTGGCGAGTGCGTGCGTGCAAGCTCGTGTCCGGTCTAGAGATGACGCCGACCAGCTAGGCAATCGGCCGTAACTGCAGCTATTACCGGCGATTTGATTTGACACCCACACGAATGTCGCACAAAAATTGTTCCGTTGACGGCGCCAAAAGATAAATAGAACAACAATGGTCAATATTTATCGAACATTTTCGTCCGATATATGGACGTGAGGTGTGGCGGGCGTTCCGACAAGGCGACGAAATTGATAACAAAAGTAAGAGCGTATCGCGTATGACACATACACGCTGCCACCGAGCCATGATTGGTCCGCACGAACGATAAATGATAACGGCAACAGCCGTTCCGCTGTTGTAGACATGATAATGAAGAAAATAAGTAATTAATTATTACCAATGACTGTAGTTCGGCCCATAAATAAAATTATAAAATTATATTATAATCTTCTATTATGGCAATATCGCTATAACTAAGGTTTATTTATCCAACTACGAATATTAGACCATATTAATATTATCCATATTGGCTTTAATATAAATGTCTATCATCGTTTACCGGGCACCGGCATGATAAAAACATGCCGAATGCCGATATGATGTTGGCATCGACTGGATCGACGACGGTAGTGCTTGGAACTGTCAACAACCGTGCTCTCTGTTGTATAGACAACACAACGTGCAGCCAAGAACGTGTAGCGCAATCGACATTTAAGGAGTGGTCGACTGTACACTGGACGATATAATTTATTATTTATAATTAACTATTAATATCTATAATTCAGTATCGACTGGAGCAGAAATACATTCGAATCATTCATGACAATTTATTATATAACGATATTGAATATAACATGCTCTCATTTGTCAGTCCAGTTTAGGGACGATAGGTGATTTATATTATTATTATTGTTGGTCAATCCTGAATCTGGTATACAACGTGCATAACCGATATACGAGTGGGCTACACAATTATACAAATGGTTTTATGAACACTATAATAATTGCACTTAAAACGAAAAACACATACGTCACACATGAGTATATTTTTTCCTGAGAATTAGACAGTTCAATCCCAGATTTAGAAGTATATCGTATGTGTATAGTTTAATTGGGTCCAATAGACAAAAATACTTACCTAATTAGATCTGGCACAACTACTAGTTGATACTGGATTTTCCTACGGTTATTTTATTTAGGTCAATTATTACTAACAATATGAAATAAGTACAGCGTAGGATACTAAGATGAGATGACTATTTCCATATAGTAATTACGTTGGTATCTATTAGTCAGTGGTACAGTGAATCGTAGAAAAATGGCAGTAAGATCTTATCGATATTTCTCTGTATTTCTATGATATCTTACGTTTAGGTTAGTCCATACTGCAGTAATGGGTTAGTCCCAAAATCCATTAGTATAATTCTCATAAATAATATAAAAAATATTTATATCTTATATTATCTATGATAGTATCTATGCGATCTATTTGTGGAAAAAGATACACAACTTTTGTGCTTATCAGTAATTGGAATTAAAACGTTTTACACAACTTTTGGATTTATGGTTTTTTAGAATTTAAGTATTTCGGATTTTACATTTTATACCAGTACCAGGACGTTATTATACCAGTATGGTCTTACGTATTGTTTCCATCTTACTTGGAGCATAACATAGCAAATTTGAAGAATCCGTTTTACTTTGTTATTTTTAATATTAGAGTGAATATTGACCTATTTTAAAATTTTAAAGTCAAAAATACTATCTAGGATACCTCAAAAGGCCATTGTTGATATTTGGATTTTGAACCAAATTATGAGCATTTTAAAATTGTAAATAGTTGTTTAATACTCACAATATGCTTTAAAAATAAAATATCAAGGTGTCCTAGATAAATAAAATAAAATAACAGAGTAAAACTGATTCTTTTTTACTACAAAAATTTGATATGTTCAGTGTTAATGTGAAGGAGACAACACATGCGTTTACAGCGACAGTTAAATGTAAAAAATACAAAACGTTTTAACTCTAAAAAACGATAAACGTAGTAACTAGTAACAAGCGTATGATGAGAACAATACTTAATAATTAATATTTGGTATAAGTATAACGTCCTAAAAGTCTACTGCGGAAATACGCAATACGTATTATATGATGACGTGTTACTACAAGGGTCAGGGTGAAATGTTAAATTTTCTTAAAATCATTAAATTACTACCTATACTAGGGTTGCCCGGTTTTGCCAGGACACTACCGGTTTTTAACCAAGTGTCCCGAGAAAGTGTTTCGGGACAGCGATTTGTCCCAGTTTCAAGATTTTACTAGATGAAATACCGATTTTAAATTATGAGAAAACATTGCAGTCTTCCTAAACATTACAAAATGCAAGCATATACTCGCGATAAGTAAAGTATTTTATTCATCTTGTGAAGAATCTATGACCAAATTTTGGGAAACAAATCTTTATTAAAACAAGTTCATGGATCAGCCAAATATGTAGTAAAATCAATAGAAAAAAACCCTGGACTCCGGAAGTTCCGAAGACTAAGAACATTAATTATTATTATTATCATTATTATATTGCTTGTATACATAATTCTTTCAAAACAATTTATATACCTATATATATATATATATAAAGTAAATATTATTTTATTATAAATGTCAAATTGTCCCGGGTTCGGAAAAATATAATCTGGTAACCTAACCATACCATACAATTAATATGTGATACAATTAGTAAATTTGATCAGAGAAAATTATAACATAAGGTGTCATAACTATATGAGATTCACATACTCAGAGAAAATATCCATATTAATATTACTTTACATATTATAGATATTAAGTTTAATTGAAGATTTAAATGTACTAAATATAGCGGGATAAATCAGTGGCCAATATGCGAAGAATATTAATTGTTTCTTAACAAAAATCACTCACTTAAACAACAGACAATAATTATTATATTTTTTTTGTGATTGCGATATCATATATTATATATTATGTATTATATTATATTCAACTTAGTTTATAGCCAATTAGCCAAATAAATTATTAAAATGATTAATAAATTAATTATTGTCGTAACATTATCTGAGCGACCATTGTGCGTCTGTGCTTATAATAGATATACATGCGAAATCCATTTGACATTTTGATCCGTTCTGAAACAGAAATTAACTTATTAAATGTTCATATTAAATATGCAATTTCAATACAAAAAGTTCATATTGTATTATATTGTGTAGTAACACAATGTGCATTAAATGATGTTCCGTTTCAAGAATTAATTGTGATTTTTTTCTCCATTTCATGAAACAAATCAGTGTCAAGTGGATGCGTCATATATAAACAACAAGAAATAACTACTATATATCTAATATATTATTATATTATAGCTTTATTGTCACTTTAGTTTCAGTGGCATACATCCAAAAAGGACGGATACCTAGCTACCTCTTAATCAAGATTTGTAGATGGGTTAATTATTGCGAATAAATTAACTTGATTGTATTTATAGGTAGAATAACTGTTACTTTGGACATTTGGAAACCTGTAAATTGCACCACTGCACCATAGATGACAAATAATCTAAAATATAATTACAAACTTGTTTTCCTATAGTGTCTTTTGATTCTACAGTCTACAGTAGTTGTAGTTGTTCAGTGTTCTAAGTTCTAACATGAATTAGCACCAATAATTATGTGTGGTTTTTGTTATGAGTGATCTATGATCATATTATATTATATTATGATAATAATAATTGGCCATTGATTATATGTACTATATTCTTCACTAATTAGAACATGTATTAATCTAAGTCGTGACACGTATATTTATAATAAAACATTTATCTATTATACGTTAGTGAGTGTGTACGTGTACACACATGTAGTGGGAGCGTAAGTGGTTTGATGATCTCAACGTTCCTAAAGTCGATAATGATGCGTTCAAAAAAAAAAAAAATTGGTTGCACAAAAGTGGAAAACAATAAATAAAACACTTATAAAAGGCCTATTAAGTATTAAGCATTCGTATGTATGTTCTAATCACTGCAGAAGATATATTATAGGCACCTAAGTAGTGAGTGCGAATTATAAATATAAATAGTAGTGAGATACACAACTACAATTTAATTCTATAGTTAAACCCTACCTATTCTATATGTTCAACTAAAATCTAACGATTTAAACATGAAATTAGGAAGTTCATGCTTATATTTTGGCTTATAACTTTTATTTTTTAAAATCATAATAATTCTTCATGACAAAATGTAACAATATAACACTTACGTAATTGAATAGATGGCGCTAGTATGCTTAAAATGAGTAAAAACATGGCATTAAATAAAATTATTTTATACCTCTAAGCGATAGGTATTATACACAGTATTCGATAAAAATAAAAATAACATTTTCAAAAAAAAAAATAACCAGATATCAAAAATGTCATGACTCATGAATCATGATTATACACGTCAAACAATTTGATACATTAATAACAATATATATTTTTTTTAGTATTTATAATGAATGATCAATAAATAATAATAAATAGGTATCTAGGTTTATTTCAGTTGCTTCAATAAGCACTTCATTTATTTTATGGAGTACTCTGTTTGATTACGTCTTATGGTATTTCAGTATTTGCCTAACAGTATTTAAAGAGGGCAGAATTAATAGCTAATAATAACTTTTTTAAACTAATAACGTACAACATTAATAGGTACATTTATTTATTATTTTTAAATGGGACAGTTCATTACTTGAGACATTATTAACCAATAATCTATATTAAATCTATAATATTATGATTTGTCCTAATAAAACAATTTTCAATCACATATCCAGTTAAAAGATATGTTTAAATGTATTCCAAGCAAATGTTGATCACTTCCTAGAAAATAATTAAAATTGTATTTCCGAGGTAATAGACGACCAAATTAAATTATATTCCTCAAAAAAATGACTTAAGTATCACTTAAGTGATACTTACGTATACTCAATAAATTACAAAGATAATATTCACTAACTAAAAATTAAAAGACACGGTAAACGAAACAATTTTTAAAATGTATAAGAACACATAGTTCATAACTTTGTTGTTTAATATATAATATGTAGGTAAGTAGTATATACTATTATATTCATTTTAGATTTTGAGCCTAGCATGAATGATATGTGTTTAGATTTTAAGCGATGCGATGATATATTAACTATCTATAATTGAATGAAAGTAATTAT